CTGGCAGCTCTTGTAGAGGACACAGGTTCGATTCTCAGCCCTGGTGGCTCACAACCTTCCGTAACTCCATCCAGTTCCAGGGGTTCGGATGCCCTCTTCTGGCCTCCGCGGACACCAGGCACTGTCTGTGGTAGACAGAAAGTCGCAGGCAAAACAACCATGTACATAAAAATAAACCATTAAAAAGGGAATTTGCAGCAATTTCTTTTTGCTAAGATTTTTTTTAATCCTTTATGCCCTAAATCCCCTCGGTTTCGTCTCCTTTAAGTCCGTTTTTCCTTCTGTAAACAATGACACGTGCTTACCCAACGTTAATTCATCAAGCGAAGCATGTTAAATGAATGGAGCCACAGATATCAAAGTCCTGGGTACAACTAGCAAACTAAAAACACTAGTTTACAACGTTTAAATGTAAAAATGCTGACTCTTCGTTTCAAATCAGCGTTGAGAAACAGGTGGATTGATATAAAGGGTGGAATTTGGAAATACCTACTCTCACAAAATAGGAAGGCCCATGCTCCGTATAGCAACACTAAATCCAAGTCCCTCATATTTAATTGACCTGTCAATGATAGATAAGAATCAGTGTTACGGTCATCCCTGATTTCAGGTGTACGTTTTAGTTTTCACATATTAGGAATGACCTTTGAGCTTACTCATAATGCACACACCTGCACTTAGTAGGTACTCAAGTCCTCAAAAAGCAGTAACTGATTACATAGTGTTTGCATTACAAAATAAAATAACTCGGTCCTAACTTATTCCAGTGTGGTCCTCCATGTAAGTTGTGTTTTCTGCACCAAAGGTTCTGTCCTCTAAATTCGCTTAGATCTGTACTCTTGTTAGTTAGCACCTATCTCTCTGCCTCCTGGAGTAATGTCTCCTACATCTGCATTTGTGGAAATCTTACCCGTCCTAGGCGTGGTGTGGTGTGGTGACATGTTTGTAATGTCAGCATTGGGGAGGAGGAGGCATAGGGTGGGAGCACGTAGGATCAATAGCTTGATCTGTTTAGTGAGACCCTCTCTCAAAAAACTAAGCAGAGGAAGCGACAGGAGTGTTCAGCAGGCAAAGGTGCCTGCCCTCAGGCCTGACGACTTCGGTTTGAGTTATGTCCTCAGGCCCCGCATCTCGAAGGTGGGGACCCGTTGTTTCTAACTTCTACATGTGGCTGGGGCGCTCACACTCAAAAACGTAAGAATGTACAGAGAAGGGGAGGAGCTTACCCATCCTTATTTTCAACTGCCTTCTTCATGAAGGTAACTCCGAGCAGCCCAGGATCTCAAGTTCTGCCAAACTCCAACAGTCCTTCATTACTATCCAGCACACACACACACACACACACACCACACAAACACTCGCCACACACACAAATCTTTGTCATATTTGTTGAGACATATTGTTGTAGCTACTTAGTTTTACATAATTTGTATGCATGTTTTGTCTCCCTTATGAGAAAATTCAGAATTCACCCATTTTCTTAGGACAGAAACTATTATCCCCTATTGTATTGTGGTAAATACTGAATCTTAAACACTGTAAATGGTGAACCGTTTTTAATGACAGCAGTGTTATAAAAAACAAGTAGCTTCGGTTTCCAGTCTGTTGCTCGACTCTCCACTAGACCATAGTGTATTGGTGTTGTTTTAAATTTCTTTCAGTAACAAATAGGAAAGACGGTTTTAAAAAATAATCTTAATTCTTAAAATGAAATGTTACTCTATGATGTTCATACATTAATACCGCCAATGCTAGTATATTTTTATTGCAGAAACCTGAGGCTATTTCATGAATAACCAAGGCATAAAAATATTCCCCAGTGAATATTCCCACAGGAAATGACTGATAGCAAAGCTGCCAATAATGGGTCCTAAAAACACAATTTGATCTCTATCTCAGAAATTGCTTTCCTTCCAACTGTGTTGCACAATCTTTTTATTCTTTGTAGTTAGCAGAGTTTAAAATCCCATAAGCTGCACACACACACACACACACACACACACACACACACACACTCATCTATATATTGAACTCTGTCCTTAATTCAACTTACTAACTTGTTGAGAAGTCATGAAATTCTCCGGTCAATGGAATATGCCATGCCATGCATTGCTTTAGGTGTTACTCAGAATATGGCATACCACAATGAAATTCAATACTACTTTAAACTGAGGATGTGGGCTGGGCTTGGGCTATGGCTCAGTATGCTTTGCTGAGCAGGCATAAAAACCCAGATTCTGCCCCCAAACACCAAATAAACCACATGTGGTGACCCACACCTATAATCTCAGCACATAGGAAGTACAGGCAGGAAGATGAGAAGTTCACAGATCAGCCTGAGAATGTTCTAGAATGTGAATTCACGGTTCTAACTCTTTTTGGGGTCACAGAAATTAATAATTCAGCTGTGATCATGTAAAATTATTCAATGGTATTAAATATATAAATCCTATTTTTCTGTAAGTGTATTATACTTCAATAAAAAGTTTGTAAACATGTCATTCTAAGGCAATACATCCACAGAACTGACATGATCTCCAGTAAAATCCACCATAGCAAGGTTTTGATCTTAGGTTGTTCAGTTATCTCC